GATTAAAAAATATAACCCAGTCAGAACTGATTAATGGACATATGTTGGAGACAGACAGTCCCCAAAGAACTAGATGCTGTGGCTTGATGATATAGATTCCAGTTAATGTGGGGAATGCACTGTATTTTTTTTTTTTCATACCTGAAGTATACATATGGAAAATTATTAAGGGGAAAATACTCTGCTTTTGGAGATGAGAGGGGAGTTATGCTAAAAGCAATATATATAATTTTGCAGGAGAAGAATTTGGCAAGCACTCTTCAAGTAATAACTTTCAACAGTCATAGATTACTTGCTGATTTCAAATAGGTACCTAGTCTCAAGGCTGGAAATCATACCAGACTGTTTCTGCAAGTTTGAATTCAGTGAGGCTTGATGGCTCTGATTATCACAGTTGTCTGGCCAAAGTCATTTAGTACTTTCGCTGCTGTGACAGGAAATGCAAATAAAAGGTTTTGAAGGGCAGTCAAACAGATTTTACAACATGACGAAATACTGTTACTGAGACTAAGTGCAGTCTTGTTTCTTTGAAGCGTTCCATATAAATATCTGAGTACAGACACATACTGGGGTATACAACGCTCTCCAAAAGAGAAAACTGTAACAAAACCTCGGTTAATAGCTGTTCAGCAATACTGAAGACTCCTGCTCCCTCTAGGTGTGGGGTCTGTTTACACAACTGCTTAATTTGTAAACATGATGGCAAGAGCTAGCATTATGCCTGTGACTGTGTCAGATCAAACTTGTATGGATTGATGGGTCCACATGTTGCACTGAGAAAGATAAATCCGAGGACTGAGAGATCACACTTTCCGCTGTAATCAGTTGCTGGTTTTGAACATGAGAGGAGAGAAAGAAAAAGAGTTGTTCTCTGGAAATCTGTGTTTCAAGGAAGACTAAACTCATCTACCAGAGTATTGAAAGCAGTGTGCTCCCATCTGGGAGACTGACTGTCAGACTTTGAGGTCCACCTGAACTTTGCAGCTAAACTCCAACTTCAGGAACAGAAAGTATGAGTAACTGGACTGTGGCCATATTCAAAAGGAATGTGTGCAGTAACTTACTCATTTGCAGGTAGAAAAAAATAATTTGGAAGGTGGTTGTACTCTGGGAGTAGCTGGAGGAGGAAGAGCTCTGACAGGGACAGTTCAGAAACACAAATGGTGAGAGTATTGTAGTGCTGCTAATAAAACTCCCAATCTAGTTGTTTAATTCAGATACCCAGCATCTTACTAGGTTGAACTCTGTGGTTTTATTTGAGACCTGGTCTCAGGCAGACAGTAGGAGGATAGAGTGTAAAGCTGTATATCATAGTTTTGGCATCACTTCAACTGAAATACTTCTTCCTTTGGTATTCACATAACCATTTTGAATATACTTCTCTTTTCCCTAAGTGTTTTTAGATTAGATAAACAGTAATAATTATGTCTGTCCTTTTCTAAGTTAACTATATTCATTCATGTTTAATACAGGCATGTAAACTGCTGCTGATTAGTGGTATTAAAGACGGTAAAAAGAAGTAGTGTTGCTGCTGGATCTTGGGTCTTCTGTGGTTGTATAACCAAAATGAGGGCAATCCCTGTGTTGTTGCTAGGCTTAAAGAAGACTAGAAAATTGCTATGACACCATCTTACTACCAATTTCTATCCTCAGACTCATTTGCCAAGCAAATCCTTCTGTTTCTTGATTTGAGTGTTCCCTGTTTTTTACCTCCTCCTCCCCCTCCAGTACATCCCAATTTAACAACTCATTTCTGTTAACTTTTCATCAGGAAAAAGATTCAGTCAGTGCATGCCCTTTTTAAGAAATCCCAAAGTTTTCAACTGTGAGATTTTGCTTTTGTTTGTTCTTCTTTAATTTTATCAGACTAAAATCACTTGGAATAATATTTTTTTCCATTTTTATTGCGTTTTATAGTCATTATGCTGGAAAACTGCAGCCAAAATAATTCAGTCATTTCCTTGAAAAAAGTTATCCTGTTTATTGTTGGTGGTAGAAATATTCACTTTTTACATTACGGCTAAAAATGTATAAGAATTCCTCCTCCCTTACATTGTGCTTTTATGTCACTTGTTGTGCAGAAGCTATGTAAATAACAAGTGTACTGATGGCATTAGACATCATGCATGAATGCCTTTTTAAAAAAAAACAACAAAACAAGCCATCTCTTTTCCAACTTTCACAATTTTATTGCCATGTTTTATTTTAAAACTATCAGATTTCACGTTGATGACATTACTAACCCATCTGTAAGGGAAGGCTCACAGGCTCCTAGAGGGAAATGTTAAGATTTTGTGGTTTTGTTTTGTTTGTGGTGAGTTTTTTGGGGTTTTGTGGTCGGTTGGGGGGGGGGGGTTACTTTAAAGGAGAGGAAATTCACAGAGGAATGATTAGGAAATTGAAGGGATAAGTGTGCAAATATAAAGGACTGTAGGCTTCCCATCTTCAACAAAACTTGAGGAACTTTAATTTTTTAAAATAACTTCCTTTTGTGTTTTGGGTCAGTAATTTGTATTGGGGGGAGGAGGTGTTGGCAGTAGGAATAGCTCTTTGCAAACGTGGTTGAGTACCTGCCAGCAGCAAAGGAGGGTTAGGAATGCTGTGAGGAAATCCAGCTCTGTAACTGTAGCTGCAGTGAGTGCTCATTGGCATTCGTTATGCATTGGTATGTCATATGTAAATACTGCTCTATCAGGTGAGCATCTATCAAGTCTACTTCTTTTAATGGTGAATTTAAACACAAGCTCGAATTCCAGAGTTCAGCGAACAGAAGAATATGGTGGAAAATGTAGCTTTTCTTCTTTTACTAAGACAGATATTTGGAAGAATTCTTCTCGTCAAGTCCTTAATCTTATACTATACACCTGATTTCAAGATCACTAATTCTGGTTTATTTCAGCTAATTTCTTAAAGACGCAAACAGTGTCACTTTGTATTTCCATGAAATGCCTCTCTCACTTTTTTCTGCAAAACTGAGGGTTGGATTAGAATCATGTGATAAAAGGAAGTTGAACTCTTTAGCAGAAGTGAGTTTGCAGTGATGTCTGTTAGCATTAAGAGTGCTGAGAACTCTGAAGAATGAAGTAATGAAAAAACCAAAATAAATCTGTGCATACCTTGTATTTTTGAGTGGGAGAATTGAGAAAAGCTTACAAGCATTGCTGCTTGACCTTGAGGAAAATGGTAACAGCAGATTCTGTCCTTCTATGCTATACATGACCAGTGTGCATGTTCTTACTTGTGATTAACATTATGCTCAGGCTTGTGGATTTAAGAAAACAGGCCCGTGGAAAAATTTTCAGACATGATTGTTTAAAATAGAGATTGAAAAAATATAGTTAACAGTAAAAAATAAATTCCTAGTAAATGTTGATAACGTGCAAGTATAATTCAGATGCAAGAATAGAAGAGAAACAAGATTTATCTGCACGTTTTCTGTCTTTCCTACTTCCCCCTACTTGTGTATATCTAAGTACATATGTTTAGATGACACAAAAGGAAGCTTGATTATGACTTCAATTGTAAAACTCAAAGTCACTGTCAGTACAGTCCTGCTATGCTGTGACAAGGGCCTGTTCATGTCTATGTGAAAAAGGTATATAAATTAAAGACAGGAACATGTTTTAAACTGCAGAACACTTTTCATATGATTTGTGATTCTTAAAATGGATTGTGCTCTGTAGTGTATTAATACAATCAGTACATTATGTAGTTACATACTGATGATGAACGTCATTCAAGTAATTGAAAAAGGCAGGAATAGACCTAATAGTTACATATGGGTACTAGAAATCTCACTCAATTTTAATCTTTACATTTGGAAAAGAAGTTTTTCAGTGGGAACCATGGCTGCCTGAATCTACACTTGTTTGCCATGAAACATTTTGTTAAATTTTTCATTTTCTTTAGGACTGGTCCTGCAGTTAATTGACAAGTATGTATGTTTAGATGGAAAATTGTTTTCCACTGGGGAACTGGGAACAAAAACTGATCAAATCATTGAACATTGCGATGTTCATAGCTTCGTTAGTTTAAGCCACTAGTTTGCCTAAAATACAAGTCAATTCAAAATATCTTTGTTTTAACTTTGTATCAATAGAGGGAGCTGTATTGTCTGCAATACTCAGACTGAGTGCAGAGAAAGCAACTGGTAATTCTCAAACTTAGTTGAAACTTACTACCTCTTTATTGATGTATACATGATAAAAAAATATCCCTGCATCTCTGGTACAGTACTACATATAATAGATGCCTGTTATTGGGAAACCCTGTGGGGTTTTCCATTTCTGCCATGACTCCATTGCATAATGCTTACTATATGAATATATTTGCTTGCATAGGCTTGGATACTTTGATTTGTTGGTCTTTTATCTGGTTCTGTGAATCTGTTGTATGTCAAGTATACCATTTACATTTTTGTTACTAATGGTTGAATAACAACATCAGAAATGCTTTTGTAAACTGTCAGTAATAATCTGAATAAAATATATAGTAAAAATAGCATTCAAGATTTTTTCTTTCCAAGAAAAAGTGCAATAGTTTAACTTAGTAGAGAAAACTAAGTGATGTGACTTATATTTGATGCTGTAACAGGTGATTCTCTTCCAAAGACACAGAAATACCCACTGAATATTGTTATTCTTGGTGGGTGTGTGTTTGGGCTGTCATTGTGACTTACAGTGAATCTGTCATTTGCATGCTGGCATACAGGCATCCCTTTAAAGGTACAGAGTTTCGTATTGCAAATTATCAGAATTGATACTGACATGTTACTGGGCCTGACTGCTTCCAAAAGTACGTAAGGACTTGTGTATCACCTTTTCCTTTCTGATCTGCACAGTCTCTGCACAGTTCAGAGAACGTATATACTACTACAGTAAAAACTGTTAGTATTGCTAAGTATATGAGGTTAGCAATCTAGGAAGACGTTTTTATCATGAATTTAAACAAATTTTCCTATAGATGTTGTTTGTGTTTTTTGTTTGTTTTTTTTTTTTAAGGTGTGGTTACAGTGCAAACTGGAGATCTGCTGCCATGTAGGATTTGTGGAAGGACTTTCTTTCCAGCAGCATTGGTAAGCGGTATGAGCACTGTTGGCGTTTAGATCTGATATGTTGATATGGGAGTTAAGCAATGGTCAGTATAGCTAAATAAAGTTGATCCAGATGTTTGGTTTTGGTGGGGGTTTTGTGTTTGGTTTTTTTTTTTCCAAATAATTATTAATTCCGGTTGTCTCAGTTTTGAAGCTCCTTTGAAGGAGGTTAATTTTATTTCAGCATCCCATCACTTTCTGAAAATACATGCTTCTAACAGCATCTTCTCTAGGGTCACAGAATCACTGCCTCTGCAGATGTAAGCCCTATCATCATGCAGTCTCAGCTAGTAAATGAAGTGTTTTGCTAGCCATCTTCAAACTACTGTGTTCTCCACTCTTGATAGAAATTAGTCTGTCCTTAAATATGAATCTGGATTTCTTCTGATTTGTCTTGCCGCTCAATATGTATATGCATTGATGAATTGCTGTAGTTGTGTTCTAAAAGTAATGGCTGGCATAAATATTGGAGTGAAAGCAGTCTGATCTTATTTATCAAGAGCTGGGCCGTGTTTGCTGATTGGCATATTGAGAAAGAGGGAAATAACATGTTAATAAATTATGTTTTCAAAACTAAGTTCTATATTCTCCTTTTTGGTTTTCTTCTGCTTGTAGAAAAAGCATGGACCCATTTGCCAAAAAACTTCTGCCAAGAAAAGGAAGACATTTGATTCCAGCCGACAGAGAGCAGAAGGAACTGACATTCCCACAGTAAAACCTCTTAAGCCACGGGTATGTTATAATTTCATCTGCATATTAACATTTTAGGCAAACTATGTATGCATTATAATAAGACTTATTTCTGTTGGCAATTCGTGATAACTAGGATCTGGAAGAAATCTAACTATAATGTTGTGTAGTAAAATAAGGCACATACTTTGCTTGAAGTAAGAGCTTCAAACATGTAAAGCTCTTTCTTTTTTGCCTTCTCAGCCAGAACCACCCAAAAAACCTTCCAACTGGAGACGAAAGCACGAGGAATTTATAGCAACTATACGAGCAGCCAAAGGACTTAATCTTAAAGATGGTGGAAAACTCCCTCCACCACCTCCACCATCATATGACCCTGGTATGTAAAACAATCGAGTTCTTCAGTGATTTTTTTTTTTTAACTGAATTTGTAAAAATTTGAATTGTAAAGGAATTCTTTGGAATACAATATTCACAAGTTCTTGAAGATGACTATCTGATTATCCCTATGCAGATGCTGGCTTGTCACTGTGGGTCTGGGTGGCTAGCATCCTGTGTAGCTTTCAAAGCCCATGACTTTGTTTTTAATGCATTGAAAGGTAGTTGTGGCCAACTTGCAGCTTGCTACCATCTTATAAACCACAGGCTGGGCAAATTGTTTCAACACCTTGTTTCTGTCCACAACAGCGAAACTGCTCAGAAAGAGCAGACTACTTTTTAATTAGCTGCCGACGCTGGACACCCACAACCTATTTACATTGTAAGAATGCACATCGACTATGTTCTTCAAATGTAGTCTCTCCTGTTTCTTGCTGAATTCACATTTAGTTTCATGTATGCAGTGTATGCTCTAGCGTGCACGTGATCCTTCCTCATGGTGGGGGTACTTGCGTTTTGGGTATGAGAGATGTGTGGGATTTGTATTAACAAGAGAGTAACAGCCCTTGGGTGCCTTCAGAACTGAGGCTGGGTAAAGTGTTGAAGCAGTCTGATGTTAGTGAGAAGGAAATATACTTTCCAGTTAATTTCTGTGATGTGAGAATAGGTTGGAGACTGTATTTCTTCCTCTTGTCTTAAGAGTTAAACCATTTGATCAGTTCAATGGCTATTTTCAGAAAGACAGGGAAAAACAGAAAAATAATCTGTTTGCTTCTGCCTGCCTGTGGTCAAGTGAGGATGTAAGTGTTCCCTACCTTGTTTCTCTACAGGAAACATGTTAGTCCAGTATTAGGATTTTAATTGTGCATTCATAGTAAGAAGTGAAGTTGTATTATTCAGCATTCAGTATGCTATCTTGAAATGCTATATGCATTTTAAAGTAAAGTAGAACCAATGGCTAATGCTGTGGATAAGAAACATAAGGCTCGATCATCATTAATAATCTAGTTGTATAGGTTCTGCATTACAAGCAGAAGAGCCCAGAACTAAAGCTAGCTTGAAAAGCTACTAAAATGGTGCTCCCTTGATTCCAGAGACTGCAAATGAGTTTGAAGCGAAGGAATTAACTCTATTCAGCCTGCTTGAAAGCAGATAGGAGGTAAAGGGAAGAGAAAGATATTGTGTCCCTGTTTCTCTTCCTTCTGTCTTTTACTTTTTCCAAGCTGAGTCTTACTGTTTGTAGTCTTCTGACTTCATCCTGCTGCAGTGGGTAAGACTTAGGAGGAGGGAATCAGGAATGAAGAGAAGATGCACGAATTGATCAATGGATTTTCTTCCTACGAATAGAACAGAACAAAAATAGAGCAGGGGCAGCTGCCCTTGCTCTTTTTCCACTTTATGTGTAGGAGAGAGGGAGAATTATGCATGGTATCATGGAGTATATTCATCCTCTTCTACTCTTTGGCATGCCTATTTCCAACTAGCCACTAGTCTTTTTCCTTTAAAAGAAAAGACTTCTGTAGTAGTATTTCCTACTTAATTGCATGCTTTGAGTTTGCAAAGAAGCAGTATTGCTGGTTCTTTGATCTCCTGTTCCACGTTTTCCTTAGAAGTGTGGAATACCCTCGTGATATTAAGAAGGCCCTTAGGTCACCCCGTTTGCACTGAACTTGACTGCCTATCTGTACTGCCCACTTATTTTAATTAGTTTGTATTTTATAAAGCTTACATTGAATCCTAACAGTTCTTCTGGACAGTACTTCCACGTAGCCAGGTGGCTCACTGGTGCTAAGCATTTTACAAAAGGATGAAGATACAATCCCTGATTCTTAAGAGTGTACGTTAATCCTCTACCATCTGATCCATTTACTTTAGTGGGCTTTGAAAGTCTTCTGTGGGAACTGAGCTGTGCTCCCGCAAGAAATGTCTTTTCTTATTATCTAGGGGCTTCTATGGCTGGTTTATTAATCTATTTTGCTTTTTTTATCTTTTTTTAATTTTGTTTGGGCCTATCTTGATTTGATCATATAGATATTGTAATTCTTTTTCTTCTGAGTTTCTATCTCTTAAGCTATAGTTTATGTTTCAGTATTCTGACAGTAGAGGAGTTTATGTAAAATAAATAAATAAAAATCTCTTGTTATCACATGAGATTCCCATGCTGTCACTTCTGTGAAGGATTCCCATGTTCTTCCTGTGTCCTTTGCTCACACTTCTTGGGTCACAGTTCGTGGTTTGGTGGCCACTGCATCATTTGACTTATTCAAAATTGTTTGTTAATTTAAAGGGATAACTAGTTAAACAAGTTCTGCTGCATTTGGAGTAGTAACATGTAATCCAAATCTTATTTTGGATTGTATAATATCTAACTGTAATCTTGGAGACAGTGACTGTTGAATCTCTCCTCATTTTCTTCAATACATGTCTAAAATCAGCTAGGAACATAGTAATTTAACCTGCTTTGCCAGTGTCCAGCTCCTCTGAAGTTGATGTGTACATGGTTTTGAATACTGTAATCTGGGGAATTCACCATCCATGTCTCTAGACACTGAAATGTCTATCTGAAACTGCAGCCCAAACATTTTACTTTCCAAGGGCAGTGTATTTTAAGGAGTGTATTTCCAGCATACAGATGAAGCATCTTTTAGTATTTTAAACATTTACATAGCTTTTCTGTTTTTTTCCCAATGTTAGTAATAATATTTCCTGCAAGTAGTACTGTTTGTAATGTGACTAAATTAATCTTGAAAAATAATACAGCCACCAGTTACCCTGTTTTGCATGTGTCTATAGATATCTCCTAATTTTGACTGGACTTCCTCTGATTCTTTTTTGTTTTTGTTAAATTTCCAAATTTATTTTTATATATATATATATATATATATTTAATGATAATTTCTAGTACTGCAGTTAGTATTTCTCAGTCCTTTCAAAACTGCCAGAGGGAACAGATTTTGTTGTCTTTTGCTATTTGTATGGGAAAGGTTTTAATGCATTTTCATGTCTTGAACAAACTGAACTGTGTTTGTGATATTTTGTTTGTTTAGCCTCTTCTCTTCTCCACTTTCTTCCAGCTGATATCCCTGCATGTCCATGTACTCTTTGGCCACCTCCTCTGCTGATAGCATCTCTCAAAGTGTTTCTGATTTCACTTAGGTTATTTCTGATCCTCAACCACTCTTCTCATTCTTATCCATCAAACAAGAAACATCTTTTTGTTTTACATGTGGACAATATTCTTTTCCCCAGCAATATGTATTTCATTTTCAGATTCAAGAGGCCTTAATTTTCTTTGGGGGTGGGGCTGGAGCTGGTCTTGAAAAGATTTTAAAACACTTTTTTTTTTTTTAAAAAATATTAATGTTAGGTTTTTATGTTTTAAAGATTACATTCAGTGTCCGTATTGTCAGAGGAGATTTAATGAAAATGCAGCTGACAGACACATCAATTTCTGTAAGGAACAAGCAGCACGTATTACTAATAAGGGGAAATTGGCAGCTGATACCAAAGGGAAGCTTCCTACTCGAACACAGGTGAACTACAACATTTTTCTTAATTTGTAACTTGCATTCAACATCAAATCAAGCTTGTTAAATACTATGTTGCTCTTAAATGGAATTAACTATTTTATTCTGTAATTTTATTATTTGTGCTAGGCTGAAATTGGACACTAAGCATGCAAGAGGTTTTTGCTTTCTTATGAGAGTTGCAGAGATCTATAAATAAGTTGGCAGCAGTTGCAAAGCCAAAAACAGTCATAAATGTAATTCAGAGATTTGTGAAAATAACAGGTAAGGGTAGCAGCAGGAAGTAGAGATGCAGTGTTTGTAAAGAAAGTTGAATTTCTGTTGTGCAAGGCTTCTGAATCCAATTCAAGACTGTTCCTTAAGTGGGCAAACAAAGGTACATGACTACAGGACAACTGACAGCAATATTTTAGCTAATTAGAGGCTTAGCGGGGTTCAGGCATATTAAGGTAGGAGCTGCAGTAGTTAACTTACGATGGAAACAAACGAAGGATTGAAGTGTAGGTGTGTTTTCATTTGGTGGTAATGCCCTTTTTTTCTGGGAGCTGTGAAGAGTTAAACAGACACAAGAAGTTACTTAGTGATTCTTGCACTGTATTGTGAATCAGGGCTGGGACTGGTCCAGAGCACACATGTGAAAGTAAGATTTGAAAGACAAAAATGATCCTGCCCTTGAGTATTCTTTTTAATGTTAACTGGTAATGAGGTGATAATGTTAAGCTCATGAGACAGCTATGGAAAAAGAAGAGAAAAGCTGTAAAAAAGCAGAAAATACACAAAGACACACAGTTAAACAAAAAACTAAAACCACTGAGTTAGGTAATCTTTCCTACTAGTATCATCTGTATGTATAAGAAAGCAGACTAGCGGAAACCATTTGCATGATCCCATAAGAGAAACAGTTTACCTAGTAGGTAATCATTATCTGTTTTCCCACAGTACCTGAGATAACTACCTATTGTGTTATATAGATAGTTTGATTTAATTGCTTAAATTTCTAGGTTGTATTTTATTACAGTACAAACCTGCTGCAGTTAAGAAGATGCCTTCTGTAGGATCAACACTATCATCATCATCATCACGCTTACCACAGCCAAGTGGTGTTAGCAAAACTGTTGTAGGTATGAAATAAACGTTACAAATTTTCCATGTCCTTTCTAAATATTAGTTCTCAAACTATGCAGTAAAAGTAGTATAATTTTAATAGCTGGAAGGATTTCTACAGCATTGCCCAGCTGACGAAGTAAAAAAAATTCATAGGAGTTCAGTGTTACATTGAGTGGATAAGATGGCATCTGTTTTTCATAATACAATTTTTTTTGTCAATGTTTTTGTGACCTGATTTTTTTGACTTACGTTTGTGATGGCTATATACTTTATTGTTGAAATTGATGTAGCAGTTTGTAAAAACTCATTTAAAGTAAAGTTGGAAGGGGCACCGATTGACATCTATGCAACAAGACTCTTGAGCACATAGGATTTTCTTCTGTTTTATATATCGGGTCAAATTAGTTTTTTTCTGAATTGAACCTGCAAAATCATTCTGTGTAATAATGCATAATTATATTGAATACTGATCTCTCACCTGAGATTCTTCTGTTGCTTAATTCTGTAATTAATTTGTACGCTGAATGTGATCATGAATTGGTGAAAATACATAGTCAAGCCATGTATATTATAATTATGCAAACACTGGTTTTATTCTGATTTCAGATATCATCAGATATCAAACATGTTCTGTTTGTATATACTTTGACATCCTAGACTTCTTTTCTTTCCTTTTTCTTTCTGAAGAAAGTAATTGAGATCCAATGTTTTTTATTAGAATAGAACATTATGTTTCAATTGCATATTTTCTGTAAATTTCTGGAAACATACTTGCTTTTTCCTAGTATCTTGACACTTGTTCATATCTGGATATTTCTAAAACTCTCGTTTTGAATTTTACAATTTAAAAATACATAATTAATTGTACCATTCCAGCAGTAGAATCTTACATTTTCTTATATTTCCATGCTTACTTACAACTGCAAGGTGCCTCTTCAAGTAAAGCACTGTCTTCATCTGGATCCAGTGGGAGCAAAATTCAGACATTATCACCAGCTCATAAAAACTCATTGGGAATGGTGAATGCACAAGCAGGGTAAGTTTCCATTTAATGTTGTCATTTATACTTCATATTTATATTGTGCTAGTTCTAGAAGTCTGTGGTCTGTTTCACTTGCCCTTTTTTTCCCCTGTGAGCTTCAGAAGTGCAGTGTTTTGAATTTATCCTTTGGTTATAAACATAATTAATGTTTAGGGAACATCAGAGTAGACAAAGATGCATTTTCTAATGTTAAAATAACAGCAAAGGAGGTCAAGTGATAAAACCAGATATAAAGTAGATTTAAAAGTTATAGAATATGCAGAAGTTGTTGGAGCTATAATTTTTTTTTCTTTGTAAAAGTGAAGACTTAAAAAAGGAGAAAACATTAGGCATAATTTCCTGCAATTCGTGGAAATAAAAGAAAGAGGCCTCTGCCAGAGACCGCAAGCCAGTTGTGACAGGATCTTTCCTCTTAGCACAAAAAGGATGGATACTTTCCCTCTTGCCTGTCCTGTCTTAAAATACTCAAGAGACAACAAATGAATGAGCACAAATAAGGCAATGGAAACCAGTGCTCTACAACAGCAACAAGAAGTGGTAGATGTAGATTACTACAGTTCAGTGAAAGTGCTGGTGTGATCAAGGCTGTTACTGATATTTTGCTGGGGGGCTAGTCAGTGCGTACTGTCTCAAAGAAGAAATGTATGGAAGGGATTGAAGAAAAGGAGTGCAATTTTACAGAAGTTACAGAAGAAGAGGAGCACCAAGGAGCACTGAGAGAAAACAGAAAAAAATACATCAAAGTGATTGCAGTTATAATATTGGTGATTGAAGACGACTTATTCCTATAAAAATGAGTATCAAATTGGTGAAGGCTGTGTAAGGTGGAGACAAACAATAGCTTAAGTTTGTGAGGAAGAAGGATATTCTGAAAGAACTCATGGGGATGGACAGCTTTATTAATTACACAAAACTAGTGATTTTTAGTTTATTGCTCTTAAGTCTTACAAGTTATGCACAAGTATAAATTACAGCTCTGTCGTACCTCCCTCCTATAACACCATGTAGCATCAGGATGCAGTTCTGTCCCTCCTTGCTCTACGCACTCATACTAAGTCTTTCAGACACAGACCAGAGGCAGAGTCAGTGAGGTTGTCAGAATTTTTTTTTTTTATTCCTGCCCGCCCTCCCCTCCCCAGTGTCCTTATAGTCTTTGGTCTACAGCTCAGCTTCACTACTGTTTGTAGGCATCTATGCTTCAACTGTCAGAAAGTCCCACCCTCTGTTATTCACTGACTGATTTTTATAGCATATTTCTCCATTTTCAGAAGTTGAATTAACACCTACAGATGAGTGGCAAACAAGTTGGTCTGCAAACCACAGTAAAAAATCAGCTGAGATAATCTGAAGGCATGTTTCTGACCCCAGTGGTGAATCCCAACTGTCTGGGAAAGGCTTTTTCTTGTGGATAGAGTTTCTAATTGCGGTCTGTATTGGTTTGTGAGGGGGTGCAGGTTTTGGTCTTCACTTCTTAACAAGGAAGTTCTATTTAATTTTACCAGTCAGTTGCTCACTGGACTTACTACTTTGTATTCTGTTGTCTTCTGTTTCCTTTTTTGAAGCTTGGAGGAAGAATTGTGATGTGACCAAGCCAAATAGCAGTTAATATATGGAGAGATGTTTGCACAGGTTCTCTCTGTTCATACGTGCTGCTTTAACCACAGATAGATGACTTCTGGTTGGCGTAGCTCTCAGATAATGATCTCTGCTGAGAGGCAGTGAATGTTAGCTTGGCTTATAACCTCACTTAATTGCTTACACAATTTCCAGTTTTTAAGAGTATGGATGTGATGAGTGTGTTTCTGCCTGCAGTCCTTCTCGCTTCTCTGCTCTGAAAAACTTGTGTTCTCTTCCTGTCTTTCCCAACCAGTCCTTATGATTTCTTGCTGGTCATACTAACCAGTGTTCTCACAGATGGCTGTTAAACGTGTCTCTTTCCGAAGTGTTATACCTGAGACCTAGCAATTCTTTCTTTTTCTTTTAGCTACTTTGCATTCACTTCTGATAACAAGTTTGTCAGAAATTACATCGAAGCAAAGAGGCGTAGGAGCAGTTACAACATGGAAGAGTTAGGTGTCTCAAATTGGTCACTAGTGACAATTTTGGCCTTAATCATCTCAGTCTTAGTATTGGGGTGTGAGGAGGAAATATTTAGGGTTCTGTTGAAATATGTACAAAATTATATCGGAGCAGGGACTGAGACGCTAACAGTCAACCTCCTGAGTCAGAGAGTGAGAATAGCTAATACTGTAGTGACACAGGTTTTAAACATTAAAACATCTTACAATTTAGGCTACAGCTAACTGCAGCTACAATTATTTTATAAAATAAAAGCGCTTTTAAAATTTTAGAAAAATAACCTTCATTAGGATAAAAAAGGTGTGTTTCTTTTGCTACATTTATGATTTAACCAGTAAAATGACAAGGCATAGCATGAGATCTGGGATTCTGCTGTACCTAAGTCAGGTAGAGCTCATGCTGTAAGATGTCATGCTCTTCCTTCTGAGTTGTTAGTGAACTGATTTACTGAGCGCAGTGTTGCACATGTATTGTTTCAAGGGTAATCTTTCAAATGGAATGTTAATGTTAAGTGATCGCATCTTTTTTCCTTGGCAAATATTTAAGAGCCTACATACTTTTGTGACCAGGTTAATTCCAGTTTTTGCTGTAAGAAACAAGCTCCTGCAGCTTTCCCTAAGGCAAACTATTTTTTTTGTTGTTGTTTTTTTACATATTAATTAATTGAAACATTCCATTTTTGCTTAGATTGTTGTAATTCCAGATTTGGCAGAGAAGTAGTAAGGCTTAATAGTAGAATTACAATTATACTGTGCAATATCAAGGATGAATTATATGTATGTTGAAGGGGGGCAATTTAATCAGACGCTGCTTCTTTCTGTAGAATCATGGTACCTGTTCTCTGTGATGGATGTGCAAAGGGGCAAGAAACGACTATCTACTGGCTAATCTAACAGCCAGAAGTGATTAAAATACACAGGCATGCAGTTTCCCTCTTGCTCTTTAGGTGGCACTCTTGAACTGCTGCCTGAAACTATTGTGAAAGGCCCATGAAGCTGTTTGTACATTTGTGTTAAAGGTGACGGTTAAAACGACCTGGGTTTCTAAGGTGTTTGGTTCTGTAAAGGAAAGATTCTTGAACTTCATTTCATATAAAGTTCAACTTCCATATCCCAGTATAAATTTTTATTTTGTATGAGCAGAAATGGAACCAAATTTTATGAACTCCCTTAGTTTAAGTCATTTTTGCTATATTATTTTTTTTTTAATTTGAATTCTCCTCTTCTGCTCTCCAAGTAAAGGACTACTGAGAGAGCACACCGCAGCATCATCAATATAAGCTAGGTTAGCATTAGTGAGGCTTACTTTGTAGAGGTAGATCAGATTATATCAGCTGAGCTCTGCTATGAGAGTTTTCTTTTTCTGCCTGGACAGAGTAAGAGCACAGCCAGCTGTAAGTATTAATGGAAGTGTAGCATAAAGGCATCACCTCTGAGTCCTAGAGAAGCAAGTAAGAGTGCAAGAGTAGCGTGTGACTCTGTATTCTTGTCAGTAGGAAAACCTTCTTTTGTTTGCATGAAAATAGGTTTTCATCTTTTTGATGTTGAAGAACTGGGAAAAGGAAAATTAATTCTACATAAATTGCAGTTAGGGTTATATTTTGATAGTGAATCACGTTAAGATCCTAAGTTTGATACGTACTTTGTAAAAGTACAGAATTTAGCACCGTCTTACATTTCTTGAGGGGTAGGGCAGTTCCAGTAGGCTGTCAGAAGTAATCAGATCTCCAGGAGAAAAAAATTGGGTAGGGCCTTCTTCCTATCCTAAGGCTAAGCAAAGAGGCAAACTCCACTCCCACTTGCAACCTGTTTTGCCTAGCTTGACAACACTGTTCGTGGCCAGCCAGGGATCTTTTACGTGTACAGATTAATTGTCTGTGCATGTTTCATTTATGAACTGGTTTTTTTTTTCTTTTTTTTTACTGGGAATTGGAAAATTATGTGATGTTTTTCAATGTGGCAAACGAACCCTTAGAAATACCTTTTTGTCATTTTTATTTTATTTTGGGGATAAAACATACTATTTAATGTTAAGTTGATCAAAGTTATGCGTCGTGTGATCATGTCTGTTAGTGACACATCCAGTACTGTCTTACAGCTGAAATGCAATATGACTGGCACACCTAACCAGTATCAGTAAATTTTAAATTCCACTTATATATTTGCCATACAGCATGTGTAGCCTTTAAAAACATTATATTTTTAAAATAGCTTGTTCCTTTCATTAAGACTATAACTTACACAGCTTTGTTCAATGAAATCAAGGTAAATAAGTTGTCTTGGTGGTCTTTGCATTTCAGAAAGATTCTTATGATCGTGCTTTTTTTCATTAGTACATGAAAGGGCTGTCAGCTTTGGGTGTTTGGTTTTGTTTTTTAAGTATGGAAGAATACTCTAGTTCTTTATTTTGGCAGTATCATGACTGTTTCTAGCTTATTGTCTTTGGTGTTCTACACTGTAGGTGCCTGGAGTTCACAGATTATGTTGATAAATTGTTAAAGGCTAAGAAAATCATGGTACATTGGAGTACGTGTCTTGCAGTGTCAGAGACCTCAGTCTTGCTTCTCAGTCATTGGGAAATATGTAAAAAGTATATATTTGGTCAAACAGGAATTGATTAAGCATTTCCTGAGTTAATTAGTTTGAACTAGAACATCTGTTCGGGAGGAGGAGTGGGAAGAGGAACTCTTACAGCCTGCATTATTTGGGGCTAAATTGTCGTGACTAAAATCTCAGTGTTCCCTGCTGACTTTATGATGAATGAATACGTCTAGCATTGTTGAATTTTTCTTCCTTATGGGGAGATTTCCTTTGATGCTTTAGAGATGTAATGTGGATTGCAAGGTTCACACCAGAAGCTTCCCAATAAACAAATTACATTGCAAACTTTTTTTGAGAAGAAACTTCAACATAATTGAGGTGGGGTGGAGATATAATGGGCTTCTTGCAAGTTTTACCATATGGTTTAAGATGATAAAAATGAAGAACTTTACTTGAAGACCTATTTTTTCTAATATAAGTTGTGATTTCTCAAAAGTTCCAATTCTCTTTATGATGATATGTAGGAGGCATGGTGGTGTGTTTTATTTTGATTTTTGATTTATTTTTTTTAATTTGATTTTTGGTTTATTCTTTTTGGTTTGGAAATGTTATCCATAATAGTAAAAAAGTATTCAAGTGTTGCCTATGTGTATAGTACTGTCTATTGTGAAGTGGATTTTTTGATATTAAAACAAGGTTGTTTTTCTTTCAGGCTTTCCTCTGTTCTTTTCTCATCTCCATAAAAGAAAAGAGAATGGAAGGCATGTTATTCTCTCTGGGCACAATGTTCAGCCTTTACCCCCCCCAAAAAAAAAAAAAAAAAAAGTGAAAAAGGAAAAATTTTCCTTCTTCCTAATTCTAAAGTTAAGGAGGCTTGTACTTACATCTCTGTGCTTTCCTAACATCTTCATAAAGTTACTATAACTTGTAATTATGAGCCCCCTATTCTAGATGTGATAAGTTTGACACTATGAAAGCTATTCTTAAAAGAAAAAAAGGCCAAATGTGAGTGCATTGTGCACATTGTGGGGATAACTGGCATTAGTTTTTTGTTTTGTTCCAAAAAAAAAAAAAAATATGCATTGGAAACATAATCCAAATATAAGTCTATGAAAACCTCTCTTTAAAGTAAGAAGAACCCTTTTGTTTACTGGATTATTAAAGTCTGATTTGTAAATTTTTTTTAATCAATGGTAATTCTTTAGGAATATAAGTATTTAATTGTGAGTGATTTTTTTTGCGATGACTTGAATAGCAATCTAGCAATCTCCTTATGAGTACCCCTTTATATATTTTAGTAGTAAGATGGACAAGTTAGGCCCACCACTGCGAACTGGAAGAGATGTGCAAAGGTTTTATGACACTGATACAAAAACAGACAGTACCATCAAAAGACCAAATGAGTTGTTGCCTATAAAGAAGTAAGTATTACAAATCAGTGTGGTTTATCTGTTTTGCAGAAATGTTCCTCCAAAGCATTGGAATAGTGAAAGTGTGACCTTGACAGACATCTGCTGCCCAGTATGTCTTCAATATAAATGCTGTGGGAGAAGAGTATATAATATAATTAGTATAAGTATCTGTTTCATGCAGGGTAAACAGCTTCATAGTAGGACAGGAAAGATAAAGACTTACCTCAGATTTGATTTCTTCTGTCACTGATTGATTATGGACTAAGAGTAATGAACTTCTATCCTTGTAAACCTCAGATAAAACAATTTGCATAACGTAAAGCTGAAGTAAGCATTTAAGCCTGATAACTGTACAAATATCTGCCTTACAGGCAAATGTTTTACAAAAAAGTAATTTTATTCTTTTAAAGTCAAATATTTATCTGTCTCTTACTTCTGTAAGATAGCTGTGGTCCAAGAATGTAAGCAAGGCAGACTTTGTAATGAGAAGTCTTTTATTAAGTCCAACTTATCTCATATAAAGACTTCTGAATATTCAGCAAGTTTAAGATTAAGTTTGGAAGAAAGGGTATTCCAATCTTTTAACAAGGAAATAAATACTATATTGTAGTTAACCCTTTGCTATAATTTGGAAGATGCCAAATTCAAATGGGCTGATTCTTCATAAACAATACCTTAAAGCATATTGCAAAAGAGAAATTAGTAATGAATTATGTGGGACATACATGGAATATAATGCTTTAAATAGCAGAAATGTGACTAAATCTCTTCGTGCTGTTTTAGTGTTGTAACCAAAGCTGAAGTGTCTTTTAGAGAGGGCCAGAATATTTGAACTTGGGTTTCTATTTGAAGAAGCAAAAAGGTTGAAAGGGGGGGGAGCTCTTTTTAGAGAAACAGATTTTTTTTTTTTTTCCCCCCTCATTCCTTTGCATGTTTGGTTAGAGCTATAAATCCTCTGAATCATCAAAAATTAGGTCAGTTTTTCATTTTGTAATACATTATTGAGATGTTGAAAATTTGGCTTAGTGAGTTACTAAGCGTGCTTACAATAGCCCCTAACCGTAGAGCAGTGATTTGATTTTTTTTTTTCTTCTTGAGAGAACTTCTTTAAGAGTATAGACTCTGCTTTTCATAACATGACTGTTGTTCTTATTCAAATGTCCACTGAGTTCATTAATTAAATCTGCCTTCCTTGCAGGAGGTTATTCAGTATGTTATGTGCCAACAGCACTGGACAAATGTGAATAGCTACTAGACATTGTTAAATTCAGTATAGCAATGTGGATGTGGTTTATGGCAAAGGTTTCTGGACTTTGGCATGCATGCCATTAGTCATAAGGAACTTACTTATGATTTCGCACAGAACTATGAGCTGTTGTGGGTGACACTGATAGCTGTCAAGAATATCTGAAAACGCCCTGTCTAGGAAGCAAGCTTGAAGCTTGAAATTGCTTGAAGCAATTTTATGGCAAAATCCAACCAAATAGTGAATGTGTAAATAGAAAGAGACAAGCTTCTTTTACAGATTTCTTTCAGTTTTTCATTTTGCAAGCAGTGGTAATTCAACTATATGTACAACTTGAGCTGCTTTAGGAAGGGAAGTCCCCTTCAATCTTATTTCTTTTGAAATTGAGAATGGATAATAAACATCTTTAAAGGTATGTCCAGATTTTAAGAGTTCAAGGTGGTATTGGTACGCAGCCTCATCTGCTGTCAGGCTCCCTTAATACTTCATGTGATACAACTTAGAACAGGGATTTATATAGCTTTGCAAAATCAAAACAAACAAACAATAAAATCCAACCAAACAGAAAAACCAGAACTGGACAAGTAGGTAGAAGTGGCAGAGGTTGGACAGATCGGAAGAGACCAAGCTGTGGTGACAAAAGTTGAAATAATCAAGAATGTCTGACTTTGTTAGAAGACATCTGTCTCTAGAGATCAGATTGCAACTTAAGGATGCAATTTCAAGATTTGTCGATAAATATACATGAAACCTGATGCTAATTATGTGTCTAGATCTGGGATGAGTAAAGTTGTAGACAGTGGCAGCCTGCTACTTCTGTTGATTTACTCATCAAAAAGGGCAGAAATCACTGCAGTTAATTATAAGACTCGTATTAAAGTTTCTAGTCTGGAAATAGAGTTGGTTTTTTTCTGTATTTTTAGAACACTAATTGGAAAAAGAAATCTGCAGGAATTATGCATAAAGCTATGTTTAAACACTTCAGACTTAAGATGTCCTGATAAGCCTTTAATGAATGATGTTTTATCTGTTCATGGGACTCTGCCTCCCCCAATAGACAGGGTGGACAGTGCACTTTCAATGTGGCTTTTCAATATTTTGATTCCGGCCGTGCCCCCGGTTCAATCAGTGGCCTGTATGCTGTACTAGACACTATACAAATCATGTGTTTAAGACACTTATTTCTGGGAAATTTCTCTAGTATACACCTAAAATTAAAGCATCAGGTCAATCTTCAGAGCACCTAGTGGATGAGGGTATGTTATACATATTTTAGAGAACTGGAACAGTTGGAATATAAGCAAGAATAGTGGGCAATTTATGTTGATTTCTTTCAAGTATCTAGGACTCCTAGCATTATGTTCAAAAATTATTGATTCAAAGTACACCCTGAAGAGACTTCAGTTTAAGAAATTAATGCTGTTAGTTTTGAAATAGTAGTATGTTGGTCCCAAGGTGAAAATCCAGAGAAAGCTAAGTTAGTAATACTTTTGAAAAATATGTTTTAAATCACTTGGAGTTGTCTAAACAGGAATTAAGACACAATTCTGATATTTGCATCATTGTCTGATGATCCCTGATCCATGATGATCCATACCATTTCTGTGTCTACAGCTGAATTTTTCATTATGTGCTTTTCTAGCTTCCATAACAAGTAAAGTAACAGTCCAGTATGTTCTTTCCACTATTGAGCTCTAATGAATTTTACTCAATTTTAAGCAAAGGTCTCTCTTTAGTGTAAAGCGAGATGGGAGAAATAACACAAGATAGAGTATTTAGCACCTGTGCTCTTGTGCATACTTGTAACAGTGTAATTTAGGTTATACTTAGAAATTTTATCCTGGAATTCTGTAACTTCTGAAAGACTGACATAACTTCTAATAAGTTTTAACTCTGATATAACTTATGTAGTGCTTGTCAGTCTGCACAGTATTTTTTTTTTTTAATCTTTAGAATCTCCTTGCTAAATAAGAAGACAGACAGGAAAACTAACAGAGAAGGTTGGTGTTCTGCCCAGTGAGCCAGAATCTTCAATGGTTCCACTCTACCTGTTGCATGTAGAAGCCATTCTTCTTAAACTTGAATACTTTAGTTAGATTAAATCAAGTGACATTATATCTTAAACTTAGTTCCTGATGTCCACTTTTGTGCTTAATCATTTAATCACTTTTCCACTGAAGTGTTTAAGTGATGGAAGGAGCTGAAAAGCCATCTTTAGCCTACGCTCATACCATGAAGGAAGAAATGTTTTATGCAACATTTCTAAAATTCAGGAGTTATTACATTGTTCCTCAGTTGTGTCAGTGTTGCATTTGATGTAGCTGTGAATGCGTTTCCTTATATATACTTCAAAAACCAAGCCAAGACTAAGTTGCTTATAATTCTGAAAGGAGCAGTTAGGTTCATCTGAAGGGAAGGAAAAAAAAAAAAAACACTTTTGGGTTTTTGCTGCTGATTGGGCTCTTGGTGACTAAAAAAAAAAAAATTAAAATAAGACTCCATTTAAAAAATTAATGTCCGTGAGCCAGTCCCAACTTAAATTTCATTTCTGCATTGGTGTTCAAGAATGAAAACAGAAAAACCTGGTGGGTCATGCACATGATGTTGTAGTCACTGAAGTCTTGCCAAAGAAGAAGAAATCCCAGTGAATGGTAATGCTTTTGAGCAATGACAAAAAATTCTGTCCTTGGTCACTGATGATAAAAGGATGCCCCTTCCTATCTCTCTTTCTTAGTGCTACTCAGATTTTTCAGGGGATTCTGTTTCTCTACTCATCAAAGCAAGCAGTGAGATGCTCTGTGTGTTTAGGATGTGCTATTCATTGCATACTGACTTCTCATAAAACCTATGAGTCTTGAGGAAAGCAGCTTTCACAGCTATGTGGTTATACTGTTGAAGCCAACTTTAAGAACGCTGTGACAGGCTAGGAAAAAATTAGGCCGTAATGCCCAGCTGGATAGACTTTCTTTCCTCTCCTCCTTCTATTTACGTATATAATATTTATGCTTTGAAGAAAGAGTATCTACAGCATTATCTGAGAAGCCTGCATCCTAAATAAAGTCTGTGGCTATGAAGAAAAAAAGTCTTGTGACTCATTTCATATTGGTCACAAAGTATTGAGAATACGGTATCTGTTCTACTTTTTTTAAAACTATTAAGACCTGCAGTCAGCTGCTCTCTATTTCTCTTAAAGCCGTGCCGGTCCTAAAAAGTAACTTGTAGTCTGTCAAGGTGGATATTGGCACATACTAAACAACCAGTAGTGCAGGATCTGTGTGTATTTTGGTGTGATAGCAAGTGAAACACATGAACAGGAAGGGACTTGCTGTTCCGTTTAGCTTGTCATTGTAAGATTCAAGTCATATTCAGTCCAAACCATGAAAGTTCATGCCAAAGCTCTTCTGTCTACTCTTGGTAGGAAGTAAGTTATATTTTTCATACAATTAATTGTTGTGTAGATTGTTGAACTCATTTTTTTATATAATTTGTAAATGCATATTCTTGTATGTATTTCTGTGTGTATATAAATCATCAAATATTTATTCTATTTTAGAGGCGCAACAAAAACACGGACATCAACCCCTCCTAGTGTGGCAAGAACCATGAGCACGGGTGCTCTAACAAACAAAAGAAAAACTAGCAATTCAGACAGTTACTCAAGGTAGCTTTTAACTTTGTCGATTTTGTCAGCTATAGAACCTTCATTAAATGGGAGTACTTTTTACAAAAGAAGTTGGGGAAAATATTGTTCTCTGCAGTTAACAGATAACTCATGGTCAGTATTACTTGGCCTGTTTTTATACATCTAACAGAACACCTTTGTCATCAGTTGTCTCAGATGTGCACAGAAGATTGTAAGAAATGTCAAAAACCTCTGAGGAACTGTTGAAAAAATAAGTGAATGGTCTTTCAAATGGGAAGTGAGTGGTTCAGTTGAAATTGAGTGAAATTTGCAAGCACACAAATTGTCTACCCTTTTAAAGGGTAAGATAAGAATTGTATTGCTGTTTTTGCCTTTCTTGTTTTGACAAGCTAAGTTTCAAGTTTTCAGACACTCCAGTTAGATTAACTAGTGAACCAAATATTTGTTCCTGCTGCCAAAATTTTGACATTTTTTGTTTTCTTGCAGGGAAGGTAGGTATCTGGAGATAAGTAGGGGAGTATGGGTAGAGTTATAAGGTATAGCACTATAAATAAATAGGAAGTGTAAGCATGAAAATGACAGTAACAATACCAGTAATTCACTGCAAGGATTAGAATAATTTTGCATCAAGTTATACTGAACTGAGTTACAGAGAATGTTCTTTATCTGGGGATTTTCAGGTCTGACGGTAAAATTGGGTATGACAGTGGAGACTACCCATCCTCAGTCAATGGAGGAAGTTCAAAAAGCAGTGAAGGAAATTCACCTGTACAGTTATCAAAGTTCTGCCATGAATGTGGAACAAGGTATCCAGTGGAATGGGCAAAGTTCTGCTGTGAGTGTGGAATTCGAAGAATGGTTGTATGAACACATTCTTAAAAGCAAAAAGAAAATGAGAAATAAGAAGCATCTGCTACGTACTGCTGCATGGAAAGCTAGAGCACTCCTTCCAGTTAGACTTCATGCTGCAAACATGTTGAAACATCATATTGTAACTTTCTGAGTACAGTCTTCTGGTTACACACTTATTTATAAACAAATATATATACTGTATATAAAAATAGCAGGTACCTAAAACTGTGCCATTCGAGGAAATACTCTTTAATCTCTGTTGGAAATATTTAAAATTAAGGTAAAAATGTGTTAAGTAACTTAGGTAGCAGAAGTGGTTCAATGTTATTTTTCTTGTAAATCCTACTAGATAAAGGATTATTTAAATCACTTATGTAGGATAATACCTACCCATAGGGAACTAGCCATGAAGAACTTGGGCTTCAAAAGTTTCTCTGTGGAGGCATTTCCTTCATATGTGACAGTAACTTAGACGCTGTGTTCTAAAGGAAAACAACATGAGCAGCTCCTTATGAATTCCTAGTTAAAAGTGCAAAAAGTCTGGATCCCTTTAAACTCTTTAATGGTAATACCCTAATTGGACTTTAAATAGGATTTTTTAAAGAATCAAAGTGCAAAAACTACCTGAGAATTCTGTTCACATGTAAGAAGAAAAGCAAGATTTTTGTGGCTTTCCATGTTCTGTTTTCCAATAAGAACATGTTAATATTTTTGTGTATTTATAAGGACAAATGTGGTATCACCATTTTATTTAGTTCCTTTTGTTCAGAAACACTTGTTGTCTTCTTCCTGTGCTCCACCATGACCAGCATATCTAAAAGTTTTGTGCTTTTTGTCTATAAAGATTTCCAAAGGTCCCGCTCCTTTTTTTTCTCTTCCCTCATTTCCTGAAGGAGAGGCAGTCTGTGCTTATCCTACCTAAATGTTGAACTTTTATTTTGAAAACAGCCTTCTTGATGTATCCAATACAAAAAAAAAAAAAGAGTTCCATAAAAACTTATGTTATTAGAGCAGTAGAACTTGATGTAAGTAGTGACTGGTTTTTATTATTCCTGTGCAAATAGCACAGCTTACACAAGTGCATAATGGAGTAACTGTGCTCCATAGGTTTATTTGTAATACCTTATATGGTTTTTTGCAATTTTGTATATGCTTGGGCTCTGAACAGCAGCCTCTTGAAGTTAGTAACAGACTTCGCATTAATTCATTGGGAGGAAGGGTGAGGCACTGGAAGTTGTTCTTGTTTTAATATCCTGTGTCACTTAGTAAAAAAAAGAAAAAAACCACAAAAAACCAAACAAACATTCACAAGCCAAATTACTTAACTTGTATCTAAATGTAGTAATTTGTTTTGTGATGTTTCGCTTTGAAGTACTGGCACCATCTTAGTTATGCGTGAAAGAACAATTTGACAGAACTTAATTGTGCCTTTCCCACAATAAATGCATTCTTTTTATCAGAAATGGTTACTTTCAGCTCACAAACACCATTAGTATCAATTCATATAATTTCTTTGTAGCTTATGCAAAATATAATGTTCCATGATAGTATTGTGATCATTGTTTGCATTCTCAAAACTTGTGGTTACTATCAGTGGAGCGAATTTTGAAGAAAGCATGATTGAAGAAAAGCATCTCCAAAGCTGGTTCCAGTCCTGGAGGATGAGAGATTTAAGAGACTTGATGTAGTCTTGTTGCAAGCTACAAACTATTGATGTTTTAGAATTAGTTCAATGGTATGGAATTGTCTTACACTTTTTATACAAAATTATGTTTAGAAATTATCCTTCATTCAATGTAGTCTTGTTTTATTATAACTTGTGTAAGCTGGCTACTGAGCATGGTAAGATGGATGACTGGTAATGATAGAACACAGTTTGGCTAAGATTTGTCAGTTCTAGGTAGTTTAGGTTCTAGGATCCATATTTTGGCACATTCGTATCTGTACTCGGAAAAATTGGAATCCTGCATCCTTTGCATAGATGAGCCTGCTTTAGAAAATTTGCCCTGGACTTGGGCCATGGAGGTCTGCAGACTGAATTACTGCAAGCTGAGTGTCAGCAAAGATACAAGTCCAGAATAGGTCTGATCAGTTAGTGAATCTACTGACGTATCAATTCCTTTTTCTGACTTGATGAATTTCCAGTTCTTGTTTCTGCTGGAAAAATGCATTTTACCATTTTCTGAAAATGCTTTCTATAAAGGGAAAGTTTAGTAAGGAAATAAATACCTTCCATGTTTTCCAGGATTGCTGTAACTGTAGAAAAAACATGTTGACTGTTTCTCCTTTGAATTGTAGGTGGCGGGTTTCCTAGTTTCAAATCATTCCACATACAGTTACCATAATTTCTGCTGTTTGTGTAACTCTTTGCTTCCAATGCAGCATTTAGTAAATTATTTGAGTCACACATCTTTTAGTTTATTTACACTTCTGTGATTTATAGCAAGAAGTAGGCAGGGGATTAGCCTGAACTGAAAGAAGAATTTTAAAAAGATTTCCTGAATTTTTAATTTGGCCTTACAAGAAGGTTTAGTGAAACAAAAAAAAGTCTCTGATGTTACAGATCATAGACTGTATTACACAAGTTGTCAGCACAGATAGCTGTCATTCCATCTCAGTGGAATATTTGTTAGGAAAGAGTAGATTTGTTTTCATAATGCCCCTGCAGAACTGAATATGGGAAACAAATTTGTTACATTTAAAGAAAAAATAAACTGTTAAGAGAGATGGACTCTGAATTTTGAATCTTTAGGTACATGGCATGTGTAAGGAAGTTCCTGAATTTAATTTATTAATGACCTAGGTCCAAACCCTCTTGCCCTAGCCCTTCCCCCTGCCTTTATGCCTTCGTTTTCATGGGAGGAAAAAATATGGATACATATACTGAAAGAGGAGTGTTCCAAAATGTCTCAAGAATCAAAATATTGATAATGGTGAAGATAAAACCCCTAGATGAACTATGCACTGCTGATGCACTTCACCGATGAGTCTAAACTTAGCTAGTGTCATCCTCTGGATGCCTTGTTGACAGATGTTTCACTTAAAAGTCGAAATTCCTTAGAGTTCATGTATAAAATTAGGATGATATGATTACACCATTTAGCATCTGTCTTTCCAGTTCTTGGTGTGTGTGTGTATATATATATATATATATATATATATGGGGGGGTAGGGGGGGGGGGGGGGGGTGTGAGCACACACATGTATTTTGTGAGAACTCTTAAGTTATACAAATGTAAAAAGTTGTTCCACTAAAGTGGAGTTGATACAAAGCAGGACTCAATGCTACTTGAGGACTGTGAAGCCTCAGACAGTAGACTAATGTAGTTACTGTCCATTTAAAGTGAAATTTATTGATGTGATTGATTTAATGATGTCTATACCAATGTCTGACCTTATGACAGACTTTCTTTTACTGTCTGCCACTATACCTTCCTAATGTGCTTACTAAGGTTCTACCATTCAATTAAAAAAGAAAGGAAAAAAACTCAAAGGTAAAATTCCATATAAAGAAACAAGGAGAAGGCTGGTTTTGAGGTCTGGCCTGAGAGTGTGCGTTCCCATTCTGCTTTTGTGAATGTCTGTTACACAAGGGACATTTCTGGGCCAGAAAGGAGTGCAGGATCACTGGAACTATACTGTTACAAGTGCAATGGAGTTATGAAAAATACCAGCTTCAATAGGAAAAACAACATAGCATAAGGCTTAATCTTTATACGATGTATCTTATACAGGTTTATATTTATGCATGATATTCACACCCTAGGTAGTTTCAGAACTGGAGTCTCTAAATGTACAGCAACTTAAGTACATGGTGATATGGATAATTATACCCTCAGTCTTACACACCGCTCCAGGGAAGTGGGTGTGGGGAGGTGCTTTACTACCATTTCAGCTTGCACCTAGGAAATGAACATTCAGGCAGAATTTTTCAAGTTCACCGAAGAGAGTCGAAGAGCCATTAACCTCCCTTGAGTGGGTCTGAACAGCTCAACCCGAGGGGTTCCTTGGCTGGGAAGGAGCCGGCGGCCTGCGGGGAGCTCTCCATGGTGCTCCGGCCACCGAACCTCTGCTCCCAGCGCCGCAGGCAGCGGCTGCTCAAACTTCTCTATACGGGCTACAGGTAGCGAGGTTCACAGGCTAGTAACTTAAAATGTATTTTAAGATCTGACCCAGCCTTCAAGCATTGTGGAAGTTCTCTGTCATCGGAGAAAGACTAGCTCCTAATTCACCATTGCAACTGAGAGTTAGTGCCTGAAATGCAGTGTGCAAAGAGAACGGTTTCATGATGCATGCTTATCGAATCAGTGGAAGGAGGTATGACTGCAGTAGTTTAAATGCTAATAAACAAGGCATGTAGCAGTGCACACTGATGTAGGCGATGTAATTAGTTTGAGTATAAAATGAAATGGTATTGTCTACGTATTGCAAAGTTCTCAAAAAGTGCTAGTTTCTGTCACATAGACTTTGTATATGTGCAAAGAACAAACCTGTTACAAGTTTTTTTTAATCTTGGCTGGCAACTTTGTGTTTTATAAGAGCACTTTTTGCAACTTTAATTCTTTTCAGTTTGACTAAGCTATGAATAATTATATGGGTTGTATGACAGGGTAAAATTTTCATCTTTGGTGAAACTGGGTTTAGTGAACGGTGAAAATAGTTTTATTGCCTTTCAAGTACAGCTCATTCCAACTCATAATGGTTTTGTTGCTGGTTTTTTTGTTTGGTGGTTTTTGTTTTTTGGTTTTTTTTTCACTGAATAAGGTTTGAGTTACCTAACAGCGGTGTTGGAAGAAACGTTAGGTAAAAGATTCTCTTGCTGTATTCAGCAGTTACTTGGTTGATATTTTCTTTCCAATATTCACAATATAACAGATTATTCTTGCATACTAGTTCAGTGAGTTGGTTTTTTTGTTAGTTTTTTTTTTTTGTTATGTCATTCCAGAATACACATTTCTGGAGGATCCTACTTAGCCCCATTCCATTTCATATTGCCAGAAAACAGCTTATTCAGA